TTCTAAATGGTCCATTACAAGAAGAGGTATACGTGTCACAACCTTCTGGATTTGAGAAAAATAATCAGGAAGGGATGGTGTTCAAATTACACAAAGCCTTGTATGGATTGAAGCAAGCACCCAGAGCTTAGAATTTAAAGATTGATTCGTTTTTCAAGGAACAAGGATTTCAGAAGTGTGAGATGGAGTATGGTGTTTATGTTAAGCACACTTCAAAAGGTAATATGATTCTGGTATGTTTGTATGTTGATGACATATTATTCACAGGAAGTTCTGAACAATAGATAGTTGAGTTCAAGAAAGTTCTAATGAATGCGTTTGAGATGACAAATCTTGGGGAAATGAGTTTCTTTCTAGGGATGGAGTTTATGTACTCTGAGAAAGGAATCATTTTGCATTAGATGAAGTATGAACTAGAGCTGTTGAAGAGATTTGAGCTAGAGAATTACAAAGTTTCTATGACACCTGCTGATATGAATCAAAAGTTGAACTCAGATTCTGATGGAGAGGATGTGGATGCTACAACCCTCAAACAGTTGGTTGGTTCTCTAAGGTATTTGTGTAATACCATACCTGATATTTATTATGCAGTTGGAATGGTTAGCAGATTTATGAGTAAACCAAAGTGGTCTCATTACCAAACTGCTGTCGGGATTCTGATGTATGTGAAGGGAACTCTAAAATATGGAGTATTATTTCTGTCTGGAAGAAAGATCGAATCAGAACTTCTGAGTTATTCAGACTCTGATTGGTGCGGAGATAGAGTTGACAGAAGAAGTACTTTTGAGTACTTATTCAAATTTTCTAGGAGGTCCTATTTCTTGGTGTTCCAAGAAGAAATATGTTGTTGCGCTATTAAACTGTGAAGTTGAATATATTGCAGGCGCTCTGACTGCATGTCAAGCTGTGTGGATTCTGAACTTGTTACAAGATCTGAAGATTGAAGTAGCCAAACCTCTGAAGCTGATGATTGATAACAAGTCTGCAATCAATCTTGCCAAGAACCCAGTGCTGCATGGGAGAAGCAAGCATATTGAGACCAAGTATCACTTTCTGAGAAATCAGGTTCAGAATGGAATATTAGAAGTTGTGTATTGTAGCACCCAGAAGCAGCTGACAGATATTCTAACAAAGACTATCAATACCGATCAATTTTTTCACTTGAGGGATGAAATTGTGTTGTCAGTTTTGGATAAAATATAACTTAAGGGATGGTGTATAAATAGCCTAGTGAGATAGCTCAATGTAATTCAATTGTAAATCATTACTTCATTATTTTTGTAGCCGTCATTAAATATATTTCGTTTGTCTTTTATCTCTTCTTTGTGCACCAACAAAAACAAACATCAATCATTACCTATTAACATCTATTTTGAAACAACTCATACTATCACCAAAATAACATAAAATTTTAAATTCCATAGAATGCATCAATACCCAAACGACTAAGAACATTTCAACACTTTTATAAGAACCTGTGGCCCATTTTATTATTCATTTCCATAATCCAATCTGATCTCTTAAATTTGAAATTACATAATTACACTCTCAATCCCAAATTTGTAATGCTTTTATATTTTTATGTACAACTAATAAGGTTTGTTATTTAATACCCAGTAAAATTAACATGTTTCCTCAAATACCTTTTTTGTTAAGTAATTTTCAAATCACACACGCCAGTTATTAAATTATGCTAATGGGGTCAACAAAAAATTGTTTTTTTCCGATTGATTTTGTAAGGTATAGAATTTCATCCATTAAAAAGGTTTTAATACTAACAGCATTGTTTCCTAATTTTGTTTTTCCAAATCAATTTTTTCCCAAAATAATTCGGTTACTTAAATCAACATATGTGACTTTACTTTAATTATATTTTTTTATATCAATGCACGATCCAAACCAGAACCCGTGCGTATGCACGAGTTTGTTACTAGTATATATATATATATATATATATATATATATATATATATATATATATATATATATATATATATATATATATATATATATATATATATATATATATATATATATATATATATATATATAACGATGCCATTAGACACTTGTATTGTATCAGTATCAATTAACATTACATATAATGTATTTTCTAAATGTATATTATACAGGGTGTTATCAAATCCTCCTCATGTGATTTATGTAAGAAGGCGTCTAATTTGGTTACTTGAAAATCTCATGGTCCAATCTAAACATCTGTTAGGACCTTTGTGAGAGTGAGCCTTTAATTCTTTGTCTTTATTCTCGGATTTAAACTCATTGCCATCATCCCCTGCGTCTGGTTGTGGAGTGAGAGTTACGCCACCCTCACTCTTCTTATTTTAAGGTTGCTTTGATAACATTCTCTAGAGATCATATAATCTCTTTGGATCATTCCAACTAGTCTGTTAGGTACCAGATACTTTATGCTTCAATGCAAAGTTGACAGGACGACTCCTAACATATTGACGGTGGGCCACCTAAGATCATGGTATATGGTGATGAGGTGTCTACTATAAGGTATCTAACTTTGACTACCTCTACATTCTCGGTTAACTCGAGATCATTTTGAGAGTTATGTGGCCCTTCATCTGTCCGTTCTCTAGAGAACCCGACCATGGAGCCTTGAAACATTCAAATGTCATATGGATTAAGTCAGAGTCTCTTAAATGCATTCTACAATAAAACGTCTGCAAAGCTTCTATGGTCATCAATACTCACTTTACATCTCAATCATCGTATTTCACTATGATGACCATAAGATCATTATTATAAGGGAAGATGTCAGAGGCATCTTTAATGGAAAAGTTGATTTCGGGCTCTGGCTCCTTTTCAAATCTACTTTAGGGATAATCGGTATGACGCTCACCATTAGAACATGTTAGGCATACTTCTGACGCAAAAAGCTAGATTCTCTGCCTCCAACAAACCATCCTATTATGGTGTTAATAGACACATATGTGTTAGTAGATGATGTGGTGCTTTGTTCCACCATCATGTTAGAGAAGGCGTCTGAGGCGGTTGACATATGAAATTGGGTCTGACCTAGGTCAGTTTTATCGGGGGCCCATGTGGACATAAATTGAACTTGCTAAAAGTATAGTGATGAACAATCTCTTGTAGTGAAGGATTGTCTGATGGTTTAGGGTATTTGACTGTGTTTAGAGCTAGCTCACGTAGGATAATGAGAAACTACGTGTCTGGTTTTCTCTTGAGAGATCAAATCCTTCCTCACTCTAGAAGTGGTACATATATAAAAATTCTTTGGCTTGAACTTAGAGAGCCATGTAGCATTTTACCCTAACCACACATAAAAAACAAAGAGGAGAGAAGACTTGTTCTTTCCTCGAATCACGAGAGAGAATTTTATGTGTTGACTTCTTCCGCCATCTATTACAAGGGCACATCACCAACCATATTTATTGAACAAATGGGTGAATGAGCAAATCTGGATGGCCAAGCTCAATCAGAGCAACTGATGGAGCATTATGAGCGCCACACGGCAACTGATATTTCCATATTTTTTTTCACACTAGTAAAGAACCCGTGCATTCGCACGGGTCGCGTAAAGTTGATATACATATTAAATAAAGATTATATAATTATGATTAAGAAATATATATAAAAATATACACGAATTAAGAGAAAAAAGCTTTAAATGATGATTATCACATAAATTTTAATATAATTTATTAAGTTGTAGAAGTTGTCAAGATATACATAGAAATTATGTTGAAAAATATGAGTATATGGTCTAGTACACTTCACACACATATATAAAATTGATTATCTACCCATGTGTTTGTATGATTGTGCAATATCGCTATAAATAGCAAATAAATATAATATAATGATGGTTAAAAAATATATATAAAAGATATACATATTAAATAGTGTTGACCCATCAGAAATGTATATTTTAATAGTTTAAGATGTTTAAGATATTCCCTAACAGAATAATAATTAAAATAAAAAACACAAAAAACAAAATTTAAATAAAAACAAAGAATGAACCTTGTAAGGCCCATCGGAAATCCTAATTATTAAACAAGGAAAATGGTAAAGAGAAAAAACATTAAATCAATTACTGAATGACGAATTAAAAGTAAGTTATGTAGAATAAAACACAATACCTCCCTCTGTTTGCCACACTTCCATTTCATCGTTGATTCCTTCTTATCTCTGTTTCTCTTTTCATCTTTTCTCCTTGTTCTCAAACTCGCTCTCTCACTCTCTGTTCTTCTCAAATCTCATGATAACAAAGAACAACAATCATGCTTTCATTCTCACGATTCAGTCTTGCTACTTGACTATTTTCACCGTTCCGATTTCGTTTGCATAACCTCAAAACTCGGACCCAAACTCTTTATCTCTCGTAAGTCGCTTATTACGGTTCAGTTTCAGTAATCATCTCTCTGTTTCGACTATGTTCGGTTACAAAGTTTTTTCGAATTTGATTTCAACACAACCAGACCTGGATTCGTAGCTTGAACAAGACAAAGTCTAAAAAATAAATTGAAAATTCTTCAGGTTAATTCTTCTCATATACTTCTATTCTTGTGTCTCGAATCAAAAGTGTTTATAAAAGCTCTCTAATACCACGAATCAATTTATTTAATGCTTTGTTTTTAATCTTCTACAAATATATATGTCATAGAAATGACATTTATGTTCATTACTAGTCTGCCACGTATCAAATTAGACTACTATTAATTATTGTTATTAGTAATCATTATTACGTTTACAAATTATCTATGTTATTCTTGAAATTAAATCTCTGGTTAAATTTTCAAAGAATATCAAAGGAATTTTGATATCATATTATTTTATTATATTATTATATTAATAATAATAGAAGAGAATAAAATCTTAGAAATGTGAAAGTTATTAGACGTGATTTCATTTCAAAAACCTTTAAATTAGAAAAATCCAAGAAGCACTTTAAGAGGAAGTGAAAAAGGAGCTTAATGAAATAAGTTGATTAAAATTGAAATCAGAAAATGGGGGCAAAGCAAATGGAAGAGATTCAGAAGAAATTGGGAACGCTGAATTACCCAAGATCAAATGCATCTGCTCAGTCCCTTTTGTTTGCTGGCATGGAGCGCTATGCTCTTCTCGAATGGCTCTTCTTTCGGTATCTTCTTTTCCTTCTCCGTTAAAATTCCACTCTGATTTTGTTGCTACACTGTTAATTGAAACTAGAATTATTAGGGTATTAGATTTGAGTATTAGGGTTTATAGTGTTTGTATTGGGATTTGATGCACATTTGTTAATAATACTCATTCATAGTTGACAGAATTAATTTTGATATGATTGAGTTCGGTAGAATTGATTTTAACGTAATTGAGTTTATCAGAATTGATTCATGCTTGGATATATTTACGTAAAAGTGAGTTGAACAACAAATTCCAGTGTAAAAATCACGTTTATACCAACTTAGAAGCTAAAGATTCTAGCTTCAAGTAGAATCAATTCTAGAAGCATAATCAATTCTAGAAGCATAATCAATTCCACTTTAGAAGAAGCAAACACCTCAAAATCACTCAAGAATCAATCAATTCTACACCTCTAGAATTGCTTTTTGATTCTTTCATAAGGCAAACCAAACATGCTATCTATTTGGTCAATCATTTGTATTTGATTGGGTTATTGATGTTATTAATTTCCACGTTAAGATGAAATGATCTTTGATGTTTGTTGCTTACAATAGGCTATTAGGTGATAAATCACCATTTTCTCAACAAAACTTACATGGGGATGCTCTTGACCGTGACGAGGAGACAGCTCGAATTCAATGTAAGAGTTTTCTTTCTCTGTTTTGAAAATTCATTGTAAGCATTTTTTGGACTGAGTATGTATTTTTCCACAATTCTTCCACAATTCTGCATTTGTACATGGTAATAAAATAAAGGGCAAAATACTCTTTTTGGTCCCTTAATTATACATTTGGGTTTAGATTGGTCCCTTAATTGTTTTTCGTGTCATATTGGTCACTTAACTTTCAAAATGTTTCATTTTAGTCCTTTTTGTCTAATTAGCGACGGAAAAACTTAGAAATCGGTTGCTAAATTCATCGCTATAAAATAAAAGTATGCGCTGTTCAGTTTCTTTCTTGTATCATGCTGCTCAAAATCAACCATCTTTCTTACTGGTAAAAGATGTGACCTATCTTTTTTCTCTTGCAGCGAAGGCGATCTTCTATTTCGTGTTTATTAACATAATGTCAAATTTTCTTTTACTCTTTTCCCCCGATCTGGCAAAAGATTTTTTTTTTTCTTTAAGTAGGAGAGTCTGTTTGAGTGACTATTCCCTTCTGAGTTGCTTTCTGAACACTTCATTTTTCTCAATTATCGTAGAAAAAATGTAGTTGTGTTTAGTGGCTAAGTACTTTTAGCATTTTTCTATGTTGTACTTTTTGATTGTGTTTTCTTTTTATTAACATTGCTACTTATGGCTTATAATGTCAGATTTGGCAGAAATTGCGAAGTTTCTGGGCATTACAACAACTGTAGATACCGAAGCCATTCAAGTAAGTCATTTGATTACTGCTATTACTTTCATTACCAAATTATTATCTATAACAATGACAAGCCTAGGCGACTAACCATTGTATACATGTCTATGAACAAGTTTGAATTCCTTTATATTTCTTTCTTAAATGAAGCTTTTGCATTTTTTGAATTGTTCTGATATTTTATGTATTGATATTCCTTTTTCATCTTATTCTTATATGAACAATTGGAAATGTATTCATTCATACTCGTTTTGTTAATGAATTATCTTGCAAGTGGGTAAATATTATGCATTTTTAACAGGGGCATGGAAGCTATGAGGACCGCACTGAAATGCTTCGTCTAATTGTAGATCTAGTGGAGGCAACCATATATGCTGATAATCCAGAATGGAGGTTGTTCTTGATCTAAATGATGATTTTTTTACATAATAATAATGGTTTTGCCGAGATGGTATTGACATAAATTCAGTTTGTATTTTTGTTTCTATAGTGTTGATGAGCAGGTAGCGAAGGACATCCACTTGATAGATTCCATTGCCGAAAGACAGGCTCATATATTTTCTGAAGAATGTAAATTGTTTCCCGCAGATGTTCAGATTCAGTCTATATATCCATTGTACGAATTTCTTTTTTTCTTTTCTTCTGCTCATGAATTTTTATCTATCCATTCTGTGATTTCTGTTAGAGGAACACATCTTTATTTCATTAGGAGGATTAGGGCTTGCATTTATATATGAAATTACCACTGCTACATCTGATATAAGGTCTAACATAGTTATCACATTAGGGCATATCTTTGAATTGAATTGTCATAGTTTATGGTGCATGTCAAATGTTTGAGTTCAAATGGAGAAATATTCCAACTACAGAATATTGACATTACAGCCCGTAATTATAGACACAAAATTAGTACTCGATAACTTTATTTTCGATGAATATGAACATTGAGGGAATATAAACTGATGGATGCCATTTTAATTTTTGAAGAAATTGATTTTATTTTACATGGATTATAACTTTCTCTAATATATTGGCGTAACATTCTGTTTGTTTAATCACTACTCTTTTCAGGCCAGATGTTTCGGAGCTGGAGTCAAAGCTTACTGAACAATCAAAAATATTATTGAATCTTCAACAAAAAGTTGATGACTTAGCATCGAAGGTTTACCAAAATCCTAATCTTAATCTGATTCTTGTCTTCTAGTAGCCATATGATATCTTTATGAACCTCTGCTGGAAATTGATATCAAAACTTGAAATTTTCTCAATTGCATTTCTATGGATATTTACTCTTCATCATATTAATGTTGTGCATTTTGCATCACATAGATATCATTGAAATAAGTCTATTTTGGTAGATGGCCCCTTGGTATCTACTATCTAGAAGCCACAATGAAGTAATGAACCTTCACTGATTTGCATTGAGGTGGGTGGATCCACTTAGGGGGACCACTTTCCTTGTACCTTTTTCTTGTTCACATAATTCAAATTCAAGACATTACCTATGGAGACCTATTTTCCCCTTGATCGTCTTTCTAATCTTTCTTGTTATTGCTTTTTGAATATAAAACAAAACTTTCCTAATAAAGTGACACAACAAACATCTATTTTTATGTACAATATAAAAGAAGATAAAATGAAACTAACATTAAATTCATAGTACAATGACTCAATATGTCGATCTTTATGATACAAAGAATTCTAATGATACTTGAAAAGTAGAATGATAATTATTTTGTATTTCCAACACTCTCACTCAAGTTGGAGCAAAGAGATAAAAAAACATTCAACGTGCATCATACATAAGAATTCGTTGGTTCCTCTAAGAGGTTTGGTGAGCAAATCAGCAAATTGACCGTTTAAGTTAACAAATGAAGAGTTCTTTGATTATCACAAATTAGTCTCATAGTATTGACCTCACCAAATTTTAACTTATTATTTTTCTGCAATATTAGTTCAGATGCAGTGAAAGTCAGCTTGGTATTTTTCTTTAGCCCTAGACCTTGCAACCAAACTTTGTTTCTTGCTTCCATGAAATGAGATTTCCTTCAAATAGAACATAATATTCAGAGGTGGATCTCATACTAGAAATAGTCCCACCCTTGTCTGCATCAGGATAGGCAATAATCTTCCCATGCCTTCTTCTGTTGTCATACACTAATCCTTTTCTTGGCAATCCTTTACAGTGTTATCAAATAGCGGCGCCATGGCTGCTATGGCGGATATACATGGCGGTTTTTGGGCTCACCGCAATAGTAAATATCGGCTGATATTGTGGGTCTTTCTGCCATAATCCGCTATAACGACCCTGCAAAGCGGCTGGTATGGCAGGATTTTGGCTCTCCGCATGGACCGCCATCCACCATCGACGACACTGATCTTTTAATAATTCCCAAAATTCTGAAACCTGCATTTAAATGCTCAATCAACAGTGAAATGTATGTGTATGGTCTGGTTAATTAATCTTAGATAATAAGCTTTCCTCCCTCTCTTCAATATGTGGATCTATTCAAGTATCTAATGTCGGTTTGCAATTCAACATTTTACTTTCTTGACAAGTATCTAATGTCTATTTAAGTATCTATTCAATTATGTTCTATTTCTGACACTTTTCATTGGGTTTCATAATGAGGATACCAAAAGTTTCTAGTAAACATTTGCCATGGGCTCAACGCCCTCCACTAACAAACTATTCGAAAAAAAGTTCCATTTGCCATTTTAAAAAAACTAGAAAGTTTCTAGTAAAAAACAAATTATGTTTTGGTTTCCATTTGTTTGCCGTTCCAGTGAAAATTCTTCTTGTGTCTAGTAGTCAGACATTTCCCATCGAAACCTTCATATTTAGTAAGTATTATGGTGTAGATTTAGGCAGCTGGACTAATCAATCTACCTAGAAAAAGATAGCACAATTTGAGTAATGTAGTTATTATTACTCATTTTATTATAATAATTTGTTGAATTTATCTCATGACTGCGTTCTAATAGAATAGTTTGTATGGTTAGTACTAGTTAGAGATTGGTTGGATTAGTTTGCTAAGTCAGCAGTTAGTTATTTTGCAAATTTATTAAATACAGGAAACAAATTGTAAAGTAAGTTGCATTTTTTTTTGTTTTAAGTTAAACTTTCATTTCTCATTTTCTCTTCACTCCTCTTACTGGTTCTTGCCATGTTTCTAAACATTGTATATTAATTTTGTCCCTTGTTACTTAATCTCTTATTTTCCTATTCTTGTTTTTTTAATTTAAATTAAGAGACTTTGATGTCATTATGTTCGAGTCATTCTGCACTAATTTTGATATGGTTGCTATCTCTTATTTTGTTTATAGCATGCTTATAATCCAAATGAGGAGTATACTGAGGTGGAATCTGAACTGCGAGCACATTTGGAATCTTTTCTAGAAACTGCTAGAACATTCAACATGATTTACACCAAGGTTTGGCCAGGCTTTGATCTGATGTATTCTGCAAACCCCAATTATCTGATTTAATCAACCCTATTTAATAAAGACTTGGTGTAGTATAAATGAACAAACAATCATGGCAAACATGAGTTATCTCTATAATTATATAGTACTTTTTTGTGAATTTTTCTTACAATAGTGTGTATGGTGAGTATTATCAGTACTACCTAATAGAAAGAGAGTAACTCATGATGAGAGTGTAAAAAACAACAAGAAAACAAAGGTAAGTTTGAGATCTAAGCTCTTTGTATTTTCTGATTTTAGAAAAGTTAGTTACATAGGGGTAGCCTTGGTTCAACGGTAAGGTTGTTCCATTGCGACCCTGGGGTCATGGGTTGACTAAAGGATATTTTCTACGGAGTTGGACTGAAAGTGCCAAACATGTGATCTTTGAGTAATTTTGAATCTTGATAAATCATATGAACTTGCATCAACAATATTAACTTTTCTTGCTATAAGACAATACTGTCACTTGATTTGCCCACCCCCATCACCCAACGCACAAAATATATGTGGAAGCTTATAAAAAATTATTGTTGTGTAGGAAATTCGTCCATGGACACATATGATGGAGGTTCCACAACTTCACGGGTTTGGACCAGCTGCCAATCGATTATTAGAGGCGTACAAAATGCTTCTAAAGGTAACCTTGCTTTGCTTGGCAAAAATATTTTTCGTAAAACCTCGATATTGTCTAAAACATTAGAAATTTAAAATCAAGTGATGCTACAGCATACATAATTCTAAATTCGTCTATCAGCAGTTTATTGCAAAAGTATCTATTTCATAAATATGGAACACCTTTTATTACTTCAAACACCGAGTAAGCAATTCATATCAATATCATGTACATAATTTTTAATTTGGGCTTTTTAAAATTAAATTCTATGGTCACTCATGTAAAAATTAATATAGATGATATATTTACACCCTATTGGGTAATTGGGATTTAGGACAATTGGAAGTTTCGAGATTAAACTTGTATTTAAGCCATTTGTCGTTAACTTTTTGGCTCAAGTCCACTTATAGTTCAATAAACATGATGAATAATGTGTGTTGGCAGATACAGCCTTATTAATATAGCAAATCTGTTTGACTGCAACAGTTTTTAGGGAATCTGCAAAATCTTAGAGACTCACATGCTGCACTTGCTTTTGGATCTTCTGAAACATCAGGAGGGCCTTCTTCTGTCTCAGCAATAATCTCCGAATGTGAATCTGAAATGACAGTTATAAATCGAGATCTTGGAATTCTTTCTGCCTCCATTGCTCGTGAACAGGTAGAAAAGATGAGCATTTGATAACAATATAGGAATAAGATTAACCATGAAGTCTTATTGTCATGTATTTTAGGATCTTGTTGTTTTTTGAGTATATTTTGTGATCTTGTGCATAGTATTGATATTATTGACATGACATGTGAACGTGACCATGTGAAAGTAAGTTGAAAAAAACTTGTGAAAAATGTCATAAGCTGAAGCTATTTTTTCTCTCATACAATTTTACAATATGTCATTAAATAAATTCAGAAAACCTAATCCAAACAGATTATATTATGGTAATATACATACTCGTGCACTTCTAAAAATCACAAAATCAGTCACAAAATGTAGCCAACCTTATTAAGGTATGAGTACCTACACAAGTTTCCTTCCTAGAAAACTCTACCAAGGAGTTGGAGACAAATGAAAAATAACAAAGTCTAATCTATTGAAATAAAAAAAAATCTTATATTCAACCTGTTCTTTCCGAATGTGTTTTATATTACTCGTTCTCTTTCATTGAATCCATCTCGAAAATGTTATCTCAATGAATTACTATACAAATAGCATATAGGGAGACTAAGGATTTTGTTCTATACTTGGAGTCTGGGAGAGTATTGGCAAAATTAAACTGAAAGAAAAATGAAAAAAAAAAAAAACCAACTACTATTAATTGTTCATCAAATGATACGACCTTGGCGATGATAATTAATAGTAGTACATCTGTCTCAAAATAATAATCGTTTAAGGTTTATTACACGGAAATTAAAAAAAAAATTAAATTAATAAAAATAATATTTTTTAAAAATTATTCTTTATTATTATTGATTGTAGTATATTATCATATTTAAAAATAGTATATACAAGGAGTAAAATTGATAAAAAATAATTATTGCATTGAAAAAATAAAAAATAAAGAGATTACTATTTTAAAATAATTTTTTGAAATTAGAAAAACAATCATTTTAAGACAGAGGGAACGCTGATTTATTGATTTTACATGCAACCTGCAAACAAAACACAATGATGGTGATAACTAGAGTTAGTCATTGCATCTTTGTAATTTTTCCATAATGATTTATAAGTAAAAGTCACATTTTTACATTTAATAAGAAAATTTAAATGTTTGTATTTTTTTGAAATATGTTTTATGGGAAGGTATAAAAATAATTTTAATTATTGTTGTTTATCAAAAAAATAAAAGAGAAAGTATATTTAATGTAATTTGCATTTAATTTTATATTGGAAAAAAAATGCATTTTGAGAAAAAAATACCTGAAATGAAATTAAGTTAATGTTTTTTGTTTATAAATTATAATAAGAAAAATGTGTGTTTTTTTTGCTTATAAAATGTTATAGAAGGAGTATAGGGAGAATCTAACATGTCACCTACTCTTATACATGACACCCCACCAAAGGGTATGAAAAAACTAAATTGTCCAAACTCAAATATTTTTCTAAAATTTCAAATTTTCAGTACCACACCGGATTTTTTAAATTCGCTACCAGAAATTTCAAGACGATATCAAAAATTTCGTGAAATAGTAAATAATTTACTATGTATTTGTGTAATTTCCGGTACTTTGTACTAGAAATTTCGAAATATCAGGTATATTTTAACCGAAAATTTTGAAATTTCGGAGTTTAGTATTTACCTTTTGTACCGGAAATTTTGAAATTTCTAGAGCTTTGCAGATGTATCGGAAATTTCAAAATTTTCGATAGTTCAAATATTTTTGAAAAATATCTCTAAATTTCCGGTAGTTCATATTTTCCTTATTTTTCCCCTCCTTTTATTCATTATTTCAGTGAAAAGCAGAGACAAAGATGGTTCTATTGCGGGCAGAGTGGCCGATTGAGCGGAGGCTCATACCCGGGATGAGGAGGCATAGGCTTCCGAGCTACAAGCTGGACGACGTCCTCTGGACGATTCTTATCAGAAACAGATGGCTGAGTAGCAGACACAATTCCGCGCACCCTGCTGTCGAGGACTTAGTTTCTACTACTGAGAGGTACATGCTCCTGCTTCTATGAACGTGTTTGTGATTGAGCCGACATTTGAGCAGACTATTGAGGAGGTTGTTCCTATTGTGGAGCCGATTCTTGAGCAGGTTGTAGAGCCCATTTCTGAGCAGGTTATGGAGCCGGTTACCGAGCAGGTTGTGGAGTCAGCAGCTGAGCAGGTTGTAGAGCAGGCCCAGGAGGTAGTTGTTGAGCGCGTTGATGAGGTGACTTCCTCTGATACAAACACCACGACTTGTGCGTCTACAGAGCCATCAGTTCACACTAATGGAGCCTTTCCAGAATGACATTTAGACATGTCCGTGCTCACAGGATTTGCTGACCATGTCGCTTACATGATATGACATGACGAGGTATATATTTTAATTGGTTAATGTATAATATTTTATTTTTGAAGTGTTTGAAAGTTTGTATAATATTATATTTTTGCTTCTTATAGGAGCGTCCAATGCTGAAGGTCGTTTCCTATAGTTCGAAGTTGAAGAGCTTCTTAGAGGGTGACATGCCTGAGGAGGTTGTTAGAGATTTTCAACTGCTGAACTTCCATTAAGGTTTGTTTAAATAATAGAGGAGGAGTATGAATAATAAAATTGGATTGGTCCAGTAATCTGTTTTGAGGCCCATCTTTATATGGAAGGGAGTACATTTTTTGTTAAGGCTAAAGAGACTGGACCACAGGCCCACATCGAATCATATTGAGAAAGCCCATTAATTTCATTTAGGTATCTTCATCTGAATATTTACAGTATTCTTCTTTTTATTATTAATTTCAACAATTATTTTGTACTAATTATGATAATTATGTTTAGCTAATCTATATCATTATTATTATTATTAACATAAAAATTATTATTAGCAAATTATTTATAAAAAATCATCAGATATTATTCTTTTCTTATTTTTGTACATGTTGAGGTCAACTAAATCCAATTAGGGATTTTTGAAACCCTAATCCTAGCAACTACGGAAGTCCAATGAACATACACTGTGCAAATCCAAGCAAAGAAGAAACACATATTTATAGAATTGAAACAAATCTAATTGTATCATTTATATTACAATCAATATCTATTCGAATCAAATCTCTACAAATTACAATCAAAGCAAGAAATTGTATCAATTATAGATTCTAATTCTATTACACTTATTTATAACACAAATCTACCCTAATCAACTAATTTGTAATGACAAATAGAAGAAAATTTCCTATTAAATCTAATTCTTGAACCTATATAAATCCTATGATCTAAGATGTGAAGGAGGAGAAAATTTGGAGAAGAAGAATCTAAACCGAGGAAAGAAGGAGAAGCGGTTGAAGCCTTGGAAGTTTCTTCTTGTTTGAGATCTAGGGTTTCAATATTTGAAACCCTAAGATCTGTCCTCCAAGCCATCGTCTCCACTACGTACCTGCAAACAGAAAGAAAGGAGATTAGAAGAGGAGAGAAAGGAGAAATCAGGGGAGGAAAATTATACGACAAGTTTCACTGCAGGAGAGGTAATCTAAAACACTTAGCTTAGGGTTGTTAATTATTGTCGTGATTGTTGAATGCTTGCATGATTAGTGTTTAATTGTTGCGTTTCTGTAAAATTTGGGTTTCTAGGGTTAGGATTCTAACCTAGGATTAGGGTTCATCGGGTTTGGGGTTTTTGGGTTTTGGTTGATTAGGGTTCTTCACGAACCCTTAGGGTTCTTGGGGTTAGGTCATACATTGTTAGGGTTCTTCTTAGGGTTCTAAGTTTCTGGGTTTGTCACGGTGATTGGGTATGAAGGTTTGAAGTTTCTGGTTGAATGTCAATCGGAAAATTGGACAGAGGTGGTGGTTGGTGGTGGCTCAAGGTGGACGGCGCGACCAAGGTGATTTCCGGTCGCCTGAGTTCTAAAGAGAGGCCTGAGCCTCTCTCTCTCTAGGTTTTGTTTTAGTGAGAGAGGGATTATAGAGAGAGAGACGGAGAAGAGAAAAAAATGAGAAAAATGGGATAAATTGAATATATAACTCTCTCTGTACTCCATGTGTATGCTTACCATACTCCCCCAGTCAAGTCATTGATCACGTCCGTCCAATCTTCCTATTTTTAATCAACGCTTATGAATCGACCTCAAGTGGCCTTACGATCAAAATCAAACGTCCTTGAATTATCCCCACACGCTAATTACTTTGAGCCAATCTCACGCTGGTTAAACAGACGTTGTTCAATATTGGGCCAAGCCTCTTTACGCTTCAAACCCCTCCTTGTTTTTTATTTTACTAGTACACACAAAATGTACCCCCATCGCTAGTGGGCCAAGTTCAATATCTGGACTTGGGCCTTACTCTTTGATTCCCAATTTCGCTAAGCAGTGCAAATCTGCACCCCCTTATAATTTGGGCCTAAATTCAATATCTGGATTTAAGGCCCTATTATCTACACCCCACAAATTACTTAGCTTGAATAAAATACACCCTCTCTGACATTTTTAATTAAAAATTTATTTTTTATTCTTTATGTTCTATTTTTTTAATCATTTATATTATAATTAACATTTTTTATATTTAATATATTTGTATAAATTCTGAAATTATTTTATTATTATTATTATTATTATTATTATTATTATAAAATTCAACTTTTACTAAGTCATTTTTTTAAACAACATTAAAATCTTTTTATCATGCATTACAATTATCTTTCTTATATTTCTTAATATACTAAAAAATAATCTAACCAACATCAAATCAATTTTCCACTAACATAATTAAAAATTCAGGATTATTTTCAAAAAGGATTATGAAAATATTTTTAATCGACTGCGAACTTCGTCTAACAACTCCGCTATTCACACACCCAAACTTGGTTCAAGGAAAATTCTAAATATCTTCGTAATCCATAAAAAACACGAACCAACTGCAAACTACGAATTGAGACACTGATTCAGAATACATAGGCATACAACTAAAATGATGGCGAGTTCCCCTAATAAAAATTAAAACCCTATTTCCTAAATCGTAAACCTAAACCCAGGTATCCTTATAAACAAG